GGTACTCCAAAGTCTTCTGGATTGTGGTGCAAAGGAGAGGAAGGACATCATATTGTTGGAGGAAACTAGGTTGGATCTGGTCCGCCCATGCTTTTGCCTTCCCTTGCATAACCACGAGTTGAGCTTTCCTGTTGGAGCAGGGGGACATCAGAATACCCAAAGTCTTGGCCGATTCATCCGCTTTGAGCCACTTTAGATGCACAGAGGTGCCATCCAGATCATCCAATTCAACCGCAATTTCCGACATGCCTGTTGGAAGAAGAGATGGTTTATAATCTCGCTTCTTCCGGAATTGCCATACACCTAGTTGCGAGTTCCACTTGAAGTCTATCAGATACCAAAAGGATTTATCTGGTCGGATGGCGCCACCAGTCAGGCGGACGCCGTTGGACCACCATTGCAGTGCTTTGGCCACCTCTGAGACAACAGATTCCCCAGACTGGTCAGGAGATAGTGCAGCTTGGCAGACATCAGTGTCATCAACAAAACAAAAGCAATCAGCCAAGAGCGGAGCCCAAGATATTGACATCAGAAAGTCAAAGCCAAAGCCTAAGCCTAAGCCTTTACTAATCATCATCCCCAAGAGAATGGAGCTAATTGCCACCCAGATAGGAGGTCCTGCTCCATCGCCTTGTCCACATCCTTGGAATGGGATCAAGGTAGGAGGAGGAAAGACACAGTCGGAATCACCAAACCCTGTATGCACCCGGTGTTTAGACTTCATCAGGGTGTCAAACATGGAGCGAAAGGTACGCCATTGAATCCCAAAGCGCATCAGGCTAATGATTGCCACCCAGTGGACAATGAGGTCAAAACAGGACTTGGCATCATTGGATATCCACCCGGCGGGATGGCGTTGGAGATGTAGAAGGTCCCAAGTGAGCCGCTTAGTAAGGGCCAGATGGATGGCCTGGTGACGCTTGCGAGAACCGTGTTGACCTGATGGGATCAGTTTGTGCTTCTCGGCATAGACCATGGCCGATTTCCCCACCCTTTTGTTGTTGGCTTGGAGTTCAGAGTTCATCATTTGGATGGTGCGCATCAGGTCCACCCAAATCTTGCCTGGTTTCTTTTCAATCGCAAAATTGAGCAAATGGCATCATTGGGCTGGGACAAATCCTGTTGCAAAAGGGATAGAGCGAAAGATCGTGTCGCAGGAGGCAAGCAGGTTTGATGCTGCGCCTGCTTTGTAATGTCCATTATGCAGACCGTGTGGTTCTGAGCCTTTATGTTCCTCCATCTTACGCCAGAAGCTAACATGATCCTCCAGATCCACCTCCAGTGGTTGGTCTTCCAAGCCCTCCGGCCGTTGACAATGGTCAATGAATGATGCCAAGTAAGGGTCCGATGTCTCAACTTCATATAGGCCCCGGAGCAATGCTTTACTGTTCTGTTCTGCGTTAGGGCCATTGGAGTTGGAGTACAAAGGTTCAGTCATTGGTGGGGTAGGGTAGGGGTAGCGCGTCTGGTCATACCGTAGACAGTTCTCTTGCATGCAGCCTTCCTCCACAAGACGTTTAGACTGGCATGTTACCCAATGAGAGGAACCATCCGGTGCCACCTGGGCCACTTTAATCTGCTGTAGGCCGCCAGAAAAACCTTTGCCTTGAGCTTTCCGTCGCCGTCCGGTCTCCTCCTTCTGCGCCATCCGTTGGACTCGAGTCCGTTGGCTGCGAGCCTTGATGTTGCCCTTCTTTGCTTTCTGGACCAATGCTGATTGGGACTCCAGGTACTCCAGGCGCCACTGATGGGCACGCTTCCGCTTGACCTCTTTGTATTCTTGATGTTCAAGGTACCACTTTGCCTGTAGGTCAGCTTCCGATAATTTCCATGCGTCACTCAGCCCTGTCTTCTTCAACAAGCGCCGGACCTTCCGTGAACTAGTCCTGACCTTTTTATGTCCCAAGATCAAAAGCTGGTAGAGGTGCAGCCTATCCCATTTCTGCTGCATTTGTGGGGACCAGTGAACTTTACCCATTGACAGTTTACGGCAGTTGCGCTCAGCTCTTTGGCGAACCTCGTAGGCCTGGCAATGAATTGTGTTAAATCTATCTTGCTGGTTTGCCGCCAAGTAGCCATCCTGGACCAAAATATCATCCGCTAATTGTGTCAATCGTTGAGGAAGGCGAAAGTGACGATAGCCCGCTTCAGCAGCTTTGATATAGCGGTCGACTGAACGGCCATCAGCCAATGTCAGGCGACGTGGGTGGAAGGAGGGGGAGTTGACCGGTGGAGCCCCAAGAGTCGCCTCCAGGTCAATGTCAATCCAGAGTCCCCTGTGGTCCGACTTAAAATACTGCTGGAAGTCCAAGTATCCTCCTGCAGTGACATGGACACCGTCAGTCACAAAAATACCGTCAATGGGAGTATCCGTCAGCCGACTTTGGGTTGTCGCCGGGTAAGGGCCCTGATGTCGGCGTAAGATAGCCTCTGTCAGACCTTCAATCCTCATCTCTTGGCGGAAGGAAGAGGGAGAGTTGTAGGAGACATCTT